TTGTACCTTTATAAAGCTTGAAAAAGCCAGGCCATTTTATAATATAACTCCGATTGTATTTGTCTGAAAGAAGAAAGTCATATACACGATGGCTTGAGGATGAGTAAATCATGGGGTCATTTTCATTTTTGGGTGAACTATCCCTTTAAGAATTTGTCAAGAATTCCACATAGTAACATTCTTTAGGATTTATCTTAAGAAACATCTTCTTAGGATTTTTGTGAATCCGGCCCCTGAAGTTTACTGGCTAAATGTGCTTTACTAGATCTGTTTATCTCACCCAGTATCTGCATCATAAGAATTGGATTGGATCTGGCACTGGCGGTCTGGAGGTCTGGGTGTGGGTGTTTACAGCAGCATGGGAACGATCTCATGGGGAGGAAGTGACGTGAAAACTCGGGAGCATTGTAAACCAAACCAGGATGACGGCAGATACTCAGCTCGACGGCCCCCTCAAACTCCCCCTCGCAGACTTCCTCTACCAAATATACTGCGCATGTAAACGCAGCAGATCCAAAAATACAATTATGAACTTTTTACCCTGAGCAACAGAAGCAGTGGCTGAAACTAATGTGTCATCAAAACTGAGACAAACATTGTTTACAAGCGTCAAATCAGAGGTGTTTTGGGATATGTGACTTCAAAAACCAACATACTTTAATTAATTTACAGCTCTCAATGCTTTCTGTGTCTTCAAATGCAGAATCGAGATGCTAGTCTTCTCTAGACACTCATTTTGAAAGTAAACCTCATTGTGGGAATTGGCAGAAAAATTCTGTCACATAATCAAAGAACAAACTTACATGATTCGAGCAACATGGTAAGGCCTAAAAAACACCACAAACATGAAAGTTTGCTTCAACCAAACGTGGATTGCATCTCTGTAATTTTGAGGATGGAGAAAAGAGGTCAGTGCTATAGTTAAGCAATATGGCATGAGATATTCACCATATAGCACAGTCTTAAAGGGATAGTTCCCCCCAAAATAAGAGTTCTGTCATTATTTACTCAGCCAAATCTTTTTAAAGGAACCCGAAAGTAGATATTTTGAAGAACAACATTGGACCTCATTGACTTTCATTGTATGCTGTTTTCCACAGAATACATTACATACATTCCACAGAAAAAAAAATTGCATGTTGTAGTAGCTGTTAAATATATATTGTCTAGAATGCTGTATTAACCAATTAGCATCCAGAAATGAAACGATCAAATTAAAGAATGGTTTTGACTCCTGCCGTCAAGCTTTGTCGGTAACCGTCCTTCATCAGCTGGACTTCTGTAAGACCTCAGGAGGTCAAGAATGTGCATTTGTCCTTTGAGAGACACCTGGCTTGGGATTCTTGCACCGTTTGAAACCTGTCAGTGTGCAGATGTCATAACAACCCAGTCCAAAAGATGGACAGACAGACCCATGAGCCCAATGAAACGGCTGACTATCCCGTTAATGGGAAAAACTGGACAGGATTCCAGTGGCGTGTTACAGTGGACGCATTATCAGTTACCTCAGAGCCAACAAGTCACATCTTAAATACTTTAACTAAACTCACACTAAACTATGAACACATGATCCACTAAAAATATCCCCAGATATATCCCCAGTCGAGCAAGGGGGGTTGTGTTCACTGATTAACGTTATATACGGCCCACCGTACAAAGAGTTCTCTGTGCGAAACCTCCTTACTGGAGGATGTAACGCAGTGAATTGAGCATTTTACACCAGTGACAAAGATAGATTACATGACAGTTTTTTTTGTGTGGCAAAATCAAGCTGTGCCAAAAAACTGCGTTAAGAGCAAGATCAGCAAAGCCACAGACCAGGAGAGCTTAGGCTTCATTTATTAGCTTTTCTAGGGTTAAAAATCAGGTTGAATATGCAGAGTGCAAAAATAATGAACACACACACACACACACTGGTTTTCTTCATTTACAATCATAAGAATCCATATTTTATAAAAATTTTAGATATGTAAAAAAATTTATCTTTTTTTAAGTTTTATTTTATAGGTGTATTTATATAAATATATTTTACAAGTACATTTAAATTTTTTAGATTCAAAAATCATTTTAGTGTTATATAATGCATATCAAATAAAAAAAAATCAATATAAAATATTTATATATTTAAGAAATCTTATGCAATAATAGGTGTATATATATATATATATATATATATATATATATATACACAAAAAACTAACACATAATGCTTTTGTTACTTAAATATATATAAAATAGTTTAAAAATTTGTCATTATAAAATTTGTACATTTGCATCAGAAAACCTGGCTTTTCTATAATGACATTTTTTTCAAATGTCTTCATTCAGGAGGTATAATCAGCACAGCTGTTTTTTCAAGAACGATGATGGTGTTTGGCTGCATTTCACTCAGTGGCTAATGAAGAAAACCAAGGAAAGTGCCATGGAGGTCTGACCAGCACTCGGACCACCCAGCAGGATAACCTACACAACTCCTATACTGTCTGCACTTGTCTCTATAGCCAATATGCTACTAATAGCTGATAACACCACAATTACAACTTCATCCCATCAAGCTCTTTATGAAACTGCTGGTTTTTCCTTAATACGACAGCAAACCGACGAAGCTCCTCAAACTAGCTTTGAAATCATCAACAGGCCTCTCATAACATCTAAATCGAGAGGTTTTTGGATGATTAGCTTTTCCAAATAATAAAAACCTTCAACGGTAGCTTTACTTACAACATTTATTCATCAACTTCTCACCATCAAGTGATTCCGTGCACAGCTTGTGTGAATGAAAACACAGTGGCTGTTGTTGTCATAATTTAGTTGCTGTTAAGTTGTCATCATTCACCGCTAACTAATGCAATCACACGTCAGGTTTATAGTTTCCCGATGGCAATAAACAGTCGAAGTGTGTGCCATACTTTGAGAGGCACATTGCAGATTCTCAGCGCATGGCACACATTTCCTGTCTGTGTACAAGTTTGTGTTCTTGCCTCTCTTTCAATACTAACAACGTGCATACTAATAAACTCTCACAAAAAGGCCACAATGAATGTTATTAAGTATAGGGAGGAGCACTAGGCTTTCCTGGATCACATTTTGCCCTTTGGTCATTATTATTGTACAAGCACCAGCGCAGAGCACTTCTCTCATCTAAACGGCTGGGAACCCCATCCTGGATATTCCAGGTTAACTGTAAAGCCATTCATTTCGGTAAGAGCTGCCATATAAAATAACTTGTTTACAGTTCTCCAATCACCACAGCGGGGTATAAATAGAGATGCGATTCATATAAATTACACCATTTTGGAAAAGTTGTTTGTTTAGTGTTACCTAAAGCACCCCAGACAACATTTACATTTTTAAAAATGAATAAATAACAATAAAAAATTATGCATAGCATAAGATGTCTGGATTTCTAAAATCACAGTTACTTGTTATACTATTCCATATTTTATAGCTTTTTAAATATACTATTCTAGTATATAATATTATATGACAAACTATTCTATACTCGACTAATATTACTTGTAAATGATTCTATTTTATGGCTACTTTTTGAACTACATTATAGTATATAATATTAAATTACTTAAACTATACTATTTTACCTGTAAAACCATTCTTTTCTATACTAGTGTAAACTATTACTTCTAGTGTATATTACTATACTATTCTTGTATACAACTGTATACTTATACTTTTCTATATTACTTCAGTATATACTATTCTAATGCTTGTTAAACAGTACTAAGCTACTCCATACTTCAGTTGTACTATTCTATTTTAGTATATAATATTACCTATACTTCACTAGTATTACGTGTAAAACTGTTCTCTTCTATACTACTGTAGTATACTTTTCCATAGTACACTATACTATTCAACTGCTTGTTAAACTATACTATGGTATTATTCGATACTAGCTAATCATACTATTCTATTAACCAAAAAGCTTCTAGTTTTGACAGTTCAACTTACTTTGTAATGCATGAGTGTGCCAGGTCCAGAAAGCATGCACACGCTGGTGTTAAAGGTCCAGAACTCCTCACACGCTCTCCAGAACCGCGTCAAAGCGCTTCATGTGCGCGTCAATGTGAGAATGATCGCTGAACTCCGCGTCACTCATTGGTTTTGACCCACGCAGCGATGGAAGCGAAAGCGTTTCTTTAAATAACAGGAAAAAACAACTGAAGACGTCCAGAGTTATCCTGGGTGGATCAGCAGTGTTTGAGATCTCCTCTAGTTTACTGACACAATCCTCACGAGCGTCTGTTCGTAACACAGGAGAGAGAATCATTCTGTCTCGCTCTCTCTTTGTAAAGGGGGCGGGGCTAACGCGTACTGTAACACACCCGCACGCGTGTGACGCGACGCGTCCTACTAGAACGCCTAATCACCTAAGCGTCAGCCGCGTCGCGTATTTGAAGGGAAACTTACTGTACTTAGTTACCAATGTCTTTGACTATCTTTTATATTTATTTTTTCTTCACCCGACTCTATTTACAGTTAAATTAATACACATTAAATAATACAATATTACGCGCCGACATGTAGCGCCTTTGCGCTTCGGGTGTCCCGAGTTCGAGTCCCTGCTCGTGGACCTTTCCCGATCCCACCCCCCCTCTCTCTCTCACCCACTTCCTGTCGACCTACTGTCCTATCTAAATAAAAGGCATAAAACGCCAAAAATAAATCTTAAAAAAACCAAAACAAAACAATGAATAGCCTAATTGTTGCAATCAATATTTTAATTGTTATATTAATATATGTATATTATAATTTCATATATAATTGGTTAATTTTAAATTGTTATTAAATTGAATAATAAAACTAAATGGTAACATTAATTAAACATATCATGTGTAATTATTATGTTTGTTATGTAGCCTATACAGTTTATATAAGGAAATATTAAATAGGCTATTTAAAATGAATTGTATAAAAATAAATAAACAAAAAAAAATTGTAATTTATTGATTTGTTAAAAAAAAATAATAAATTTTTCTTACCAATCACTTGCTCAAAACCTGTTTCAACTTCACTATCTTCTCCCTCTGAATCCTCACTGCTTTTGTGTCTCCATCAAATTGGTTTTTAGGCTTTCAGGTCCTTCGTTTGGCACCTAGAAAAATTTTATATTCATCAAATGACATGAGTTAGTTATTAGTCTGGGGAATAATCATTGAAATTAGAAATACACATTAAAAAGCATCAGTGAAGTTTAGTGACAGGCGGCAGAGACATGCGTCTCTGTGACTCATGAGCGCAAATTAGTGGCGAGTTGGAGTATTGCACTTCAATCCAGACACCACACATCCTTTCAATAACGATAACAGCTCGATCAGAGGGCTTATGTATTTGTTCATTCAGCTGAGACCGGGTCTGTTAACGTTTTTTTAAAGTTTATCTCGATAACTGAGCATTAGGGAGAGAGCAGAAACAGTTTAACCACTCTTGTCCAAGAAAAGCTATGTGTGTGTGCTTTAATAGACACAGAACACTGACAACCCCTTTACCTTTCCAACACTTTTCCTGGCAGGCCTCTCATGCTGACACTCACAAAGGAGCACGGGCACTCTGAGGGGGGCATGTTTTTCATTGAACAATTTCCCCTAGAGCTGCCAAGTGCGGGTAAGGGTAAAACCTCCATGTGAAGTTTAGCAATAGGCCTACTTTGAGCGTAATCTTAAGTGTCTGTGAAGTTTTGGTGGTAATTATTAGGATTTGGCAATTGTTTGTGTTTACTAAGGCCACACTGCAGCTAAATTCAGTAATCCTGTTCTGTACATTTACGGGAGTGACCACCGCATTCTACAACCTAATTAACTCCAGAAAAAAAGTATAATAACCACATTTAGCCTATAAACAACATTTACACTTTTATGCAGTGTGTACGGAACCGAAGTGAACGACTTTTAAACGCGTATCAGCGTTGCGGTGCAAGAAATAACAGGGAACGAGGTGCGTTTGTGTTACCAGGGGCCGTATGTATAAAGCCGCTCAAAGTAAAAGTTTAGTCTTAAGTGTGTCAAAATTCTAAGAATGACGTAATTTTACTCTTATTCCTAGACTTAAGAATAAGAGTGATTCATAAAAGTTCCTACGTGTTAAAAGAGGTCTCAGCTCCTAAATTATTTAAGAGAGCTGGAGAGGTCTCCTAACCTAGTTAGGAGTAATAAGATGGCAGCAAAGAGGAGACGACAAACACTTTCCAGCGAAAATATATAGGACTTATATGATAATATGGAGTTGATAAAATGATACAAACTTAATTGTAAAGATTTTTTTTTTGTAACTGATAAAGTAAAAAATGTAATAACCTCTTCCACTCAACAAGTCAATGCTCTAACAGCAGAAATGAAAGTAGTAATACATTTTTTTTGGCTGGAAAATTGGAAAAATGCAGCAATGCAGAATTTTTTGACACTTAAGTCAAAGCTTAAGACTATTCTTAAGAGTATTTCTGAGAAGTTTTATACATACAGGCCCAGATCTTGCTCTAAAAACCAGCAAATAAGAATAAGCACATAATCAACTTCATTCCAAACGCAATAACTTGGAAATAAGTAACACGCCACAATATCGCGACCTGCACCTGCCTAGTTTATTGACTATATACATTTGATCGCTCTATGAGCCGAGCCCAAACATCAAGCTCAAAGACACGTGTGCGTCGCTTATAATACGTGGACATGGCAACACTACATGAGTGCGCTCTGCAAACCTTCCAAATATAAATAAGATGTCGACGGGGATTTAGTTAAAATCGCCTATATGTAACGCGTTACTTTGGGCAAAAATAGCGGCTACCAAAAGCGTGAGTCGGCAAAAAGTTGCTGTTGTTACCAAAATGTCAGTCATGGTAATTTTGAGAGTGAGTTCTGTTCCATACACACAAGGAACTGTAATTTCGGGGATTCGCTCCCGTATTAAATGCGGTGTCACTCCTGAAACTTTACAGTGTGCATGTAGCCTAAGGTCCACACATTTCCATGAATGCTTGATAAAATTCATATCAAGATGAAAATGAGTAACTCAGCAGAGATGCTGCCATAAAAAAAAATGCATTAGGCCCTACAGAAAGACAGACAGCTAGTCCCCAGTCAAAAGATCAAATAAACAGCCTGTCTTGAAGCACACATCAGGTTCTATTTTAAAGCAAACAACAGGTTTGCATTGAAAAGACAAATATTTTAACTTTAACTCCTTTTGGACAAAGTGAATATTTCTGTGTTAATTGAATAGCAGAATGAAGGAAGAACTCATACAGGTTCGGAACAACATGAGGGTGAGTAAATATTGACCACATTTTTATTTTTACTACAATTATTTATTTAAAACCAAGTTTCCTGTCAAATAAGCTACCAGTCATTTTCTCAATCTAGCCTATTTTGTTGTAAATGTGCTGGAAAATTATTTAATGCAATCCCAGAGGACTTGTTAGTAGGAATCTCGACTATTCGTGTCTAACCCATTCACACATTAGGCTATAGTTGTTTGCATGTGTCAGTGAGGCCACGGCTCACGGCTCACGGCTAGACACCTGTAAACCACAACACATAAGCCTGAATACAGAAAACATGCTTTCTATTGTTGTAGTTCACACTCTGGTTTCACTGGGGGAGTCCTAGCGTGCAAAACTCACTTCAAATCGTGCTGCATTATGTTGCTCACCTGACGGGTTCTCAGGCATTTATGTCTCTAAACCTGCCCTAAAGGCACGTCAACCCCGTGTATGTTACATAAACCTGATATCTATGCTTACAGGTATGCCTTTTAAAAATATATATCTCATATTACACTACATTATGCCCAAAATGTTACATTATATTTATGATGTTGCATAAAACATATGTACAAAAGCACAAATACAGCATCAAACAAAAAGAAAAATTAATAATTAAATTGCAAATTGAGAGTCCACCTTTTTTATAAAAAAAAAGTATATATATATATA